AGTAAATATACTTACTCATAGCCAGTTTATTTTACTGGTAACAAGATATTAAGTAATTTTTTTTATTCAAGCACATAGTTCATTAAATTTCTTGAATTCTACTAATGATATGATGAGTGTTTGCTATGCGTTGGATCTTGTGAATGCATTGTTTTGCTTAATCTCTTTTTACCAGTATAGAAAACCTAGATTCAGGAAGGTGAAGCACCTTACATAACTGGTATTTAGACAGTAGGGTTGAAACCTATTCTGTAATACCTCCCAATCCACTGTTTATTAAACCAGTACAGTATATTTCTTCTCTAAATGAGTATTTTTATAATTGTGTGGATCTGACAAGATATGGACAACATTGCAGAGAATCACTATTAATTGTGTCATTGATCAAGAGGCAGACATTCAAACAGAACAAGGGGGCACTGAATGGTCTAAAATCAAGAAAGATGTGCACCAGGGTTGTACTCTTTCACCATACTTAAGCAATCTGTATGCTGAACAAATGAGCCAAAAAGCTGTATTATATGAAGAAGAATGTGGCATCAGGATTGGATGATACAACCTTGCTTGCTAAAAGCAAAAAGAACTTAAACTACTTAATGAAGTTTAAAGACTACAGCCTCTAGTATGAGTTATACTTCAGTGTAAAAAAAAACCCCAGAAATCCTCACAATAAAATAACATCTTGATAAATGGGAAAAAGAAGTTGTCAAAGACTTCATTTTGCTTGGATCCACTATCAACACTCATGGAAACAGCAGCCAAGAAATCAAACAATCTGTTGTATCAGGCAAATCTGCATAAGACGTTTTTAAAGTCTTTAAGGTCAAAGATGTCAGTTTCAGGACAAAGATATCAGTTTCAGGACTCAAGCCATGGTATTTTCAATAGCCTCATATGCATGTGAAAGTTGAACATTGAATAAGGAAGACTGTAGAAGAATTGATACATTTGAGTTACAGTATTGTAGAAAAATATTGAAAGTACCATGGACTGCCAGAAGAACAAACAAATCTGTGTTGGACGAAGTACAACCAGCCAAGATGGCCAGACTTTGTCTCTCATACTTAAGACATTATCAGGAGGGACCTGTCCCTGGAGAAGAACATTATTTTGGTAAAGTGGAGCATCAGCGAAAAAGAAGGAGACCCCCAAAGAGCTGGATTGGCACAGTGTCAGCAGCAGTGGATTCAAGCGTAGTAACAATTGTGATGTTGGCATAGGTCAAGGCAGTGTTTCATCCTTTTGTGTATAGGTTGCTATGTCAATCTGGTAAAGATTGACAGCCTCAGAAACCCTGTACAGGGTCACTATGAGTCAGAACCAACTTCACACCACGTAACAACAGCAACAACAACAATTTCTTCTTTAAGTGAATATTTTTATGACCCTGCATATATGTAAAATGGAAAAGATATCACTTATTACATATTGGTACATCCAACTGTATCCTTACATGTCTAGCAAATACTGCTAGATAAGTCTATTTTTTATGTTCATAGATGATATAACTATTTGTGAGCTCTAATTTCTATTTACATGGATGTACTGAATTTTCCAAGTAAAAATAAGGAACTGAATTAACAGAAATAGTGATGTGTAATACAAATTCCCGAGATACTTAAGTTCCAGGAATTTCAACATTTTAAATTAGAAAGTATTTCTAACAGCTTACAGACTCATTTTGCTTTCTTGACATTCTTATCCTAAAAATATAACACTAACATGCAATAATAAAAAATTCTAACTGTGCTTCTTCTGGTCTTGCAAGAAACAAGAGGTCTTAAAATTTTTCTATAATCCTCAGAAGTAAATGATGAATTCAGCAATCTATTCCTAGAAGTTTGACTAAACAAATGTCAGAACGTTGTTGTTGTTGTTAAGTGCTGTGGAGTTGGTTCTGACTCATAGTGACCCTGTACAGGGTTTCTGAGGCTGTCAATCTTTACCAGAGCAGAAAGCCTCATCTTTCTCCCACGGAACAGCTGGTAGATTTAAACTGCTGCCCTGAGGTTAGCAGCCCAATTCGTAACCACTACACTACCAGAGCTCCTTATACATGAGCTTAGTTGTGCTATATTTATCTTCCTTTTTTTTCTTTATGTTTTTATTGTGAACTGAGTGATAGTTTACATGGGAGAACTTTGGCTTTATACCATTGTTTCATTGAAATGATTACAATTTCCTCCATGCATCATCATTCAACAGTATTTACTTCCATTCCCTCTCTTTTTTTTTCTTTTTTGTTTTTTTTTTAAAGAGGGGGATATACACAGAAACACTCAGGAATATATAATCATTTAAACAACCAAAGGGTACATTCTGCAAGCCTGCCTCCTGGCCGCCAATACCCAGTCCCTCTGTTTCCATGAGTCCAAAGTCCTCAGCTGCTCCTTCTCTCCATGTCCTCATCTCTGCCTTCATCTCTGGTGTTGTTGCTTCTTTGAATAGGATCCCAATTTCCCCTTGTGCTCTTCTGCCTTGATGGTCCTAGGGTTCTCTGCTTTTGGACTGTAAGATTAACTACTCCCCATTTTTATTACAAAACTTCTACCTTTACAGTTGTGACAGTCGCAATTAGTCATGATAACAATTACTATTGAGTCGTAAGAATCTTATCCCTTCTCTTTTCACCAGACCTGTCTAGACAAAATGAAAACTATTCAATGGGGACTTTTACCTTACCCTGCACACTCCCAAACCAAACTCCCTCTTGAAAACTTGTAAGCCAGTCACTTCATGCCTTTATCACCCCTTCATTTTAGGTAACCAATGTCTAAGTTGCCCATCCCTATCAACCCTGTGTACAGGGGGGATAGGATTCATACTTGATGTGAAGACTCCTTCCCTCTCAGTTGGTATTTTGAGCTATTACATAGTATAGTGGTCATGAATCAGCTGCTAACATCA